CTACTGGACTGTTCTAAGTCATCCTGGTGAAAGCTCAGCTCTTTGTAACATCTAACATACATGATATCATAAGAACTGCCTTGATCGACCAGTATATGCCTTACCTGGCAATTCCCAATCCTCAGAGTCACCACCAGAGCATTATTGTGCGGATGCTATACCATATCTAAATTGGCTTTAGTAAAAGAGACCATCGGTCCGAGATACTCATGCACTCTGGGCTTCTTCTGTTGAACTTGGTACACATGTTGTATGTGTCTCACTCTCTGTGTTTCCCCCCTAACTTCAGTCTCATTCACTCTTAAGTGAATTACATTGATCACCCGGGGTCCATCTGCTTGTTGTGATGGCGGTGATGGAGGTGCCACTGGTGTTGGGGGAAACCTTGCATGTTCCTCCCTTATCCTAGCTTCATCCACTAGGTCTCTTAGATGACCTTGCTTGACCAAGTCCTTCAAGTAGGTTCTCAGGGCCCTACACCCCTGTGTAAAATGCCCATCTGCATTGTGGTAAGTGCAGTGCTTCCCAATGCTTCTTCCCATAAACTCGTCCTGAACTTTTTCTGGCGCTCTGTAATATGGTTGGTTTTTTATCCTCTCCAGGACCTTATGGATCGGGATCTTGAATACTGTAGTAATTGCCTGTGCAGCCCTTAGTCCGACCTCCTGCCTGTTAACTGTGGTATTACCTCAGCCTCGCTTCGGTGAGCCGTTTCCCTTCTCCTGCTTCAACACTTTCATTCTTGGTGTGTCCTCCTCTGCCCTGGCATATTTTTCTATTCGCACCATGAGCTCTTCCATACACTTTGGTAGAGTTTTCTTTAGCGACTTTTGAAGTGGGCATTTATCCTCCAGGCTGTTTTTAAATGAAACGACTGCCACCTCCTGGTTACATGCTGGTATTTGGTTGAACACGTCGTAATACCGCTTGACATAAGCCCTCAAGCTCTCATCCTCGCCAATCTTTAAAGCCAACAGGGAGTTTACCCTCAACGGCTACAGTTTGTTTGTAACAAACTTGGCCACGAACATTTCGGCCAAGCCTTCCCAACTTTTCACAGTTCTTTTCGACAACTTGTAAAACCAATCCGATGCGATTTCTCCAAAAGATGAAGGGAACATCTTGCAAAGCAACTGCTCATTCCCGCTGTACAAGGCCATTGAATTTAAATACAAGCTGACACGAAAGTTCTGGTCGGACTTACCGTCGTATATCTGGAACCTCGGCATTTGGAATCTCTTCAGAGGCTCGAACTTATCTAGCTCCACTGAGAACGGTATCCTCTGTTTGACAGGGAATGTTACCTCGACATTGAGTCGCTTCCTCTGGAGGTAGTCTCTCAAATCCTCTTTCTCTCGTCCGGGAGCTCAACTATCAACGGATTTTAGCTTTTTTGGGGCACTACTCCCAGTGTCATTATTTGTACTCTTGGACCTCCCCTCATCCGTTGTGTTAAAACAAAATTCCTTCCCGTGGATAAGCCGAGGTTCCCTGACGTAAATCCCCATCATTCATGGCCAGTGACTTTCGAAGCATGCAGTCATCCTCCAGGCCGTTCTTAAAAGACACGACCACCAACTCTTGGTTACATCTTGGTATTCAGTTGAACACCTTATAATACCTTTTGGCATAAGCCCTGAGGCTTTCACCCTTGCCACTTTTCAGAACCATCAGGGAGTCTATGCTCAATAGCTGCGATTTGTTTGTAACAAACCTGACCACAAACATCTTGGCCATGCCTTCCCAACTCTTCATAGTTCCTTTTGACAACTTGTGAAACCAATTTGATGCTATTTCCCTAAAGGATGAGGGGAACACCTTACAGAGCAATGGTTTGTTCCTGGTATACAGTGCTATTGAATTCAAATATAAGTCGACGTGAAAGTTTAGATTAGACTTATCGTCATATATCTGGAACCTCGGCATATGAAACCTTTTTGGGGCCTCAAACTTATCAAACTCTACAGAGAATGGCGTTCTCGACTTGACTGGGGATGTTACCTTGACATTTTGCCGCTTCCTGTGGAGGTAGTCCCTCAAATCCTCCTTAGTCTGGCTAGGAGCTCGGCTGTCAACAGATTTCACCCTTTTTGGTGCGCTGCTCCCAGTGTTATTATGAGTTCTCTTGGATTTTTCTTTATCCACCGTGTCAAAATAAAGTTCCTTCCCTTGAACATGCCGATGTTCCCTGACATGCGTCTCTTTGGTACGAGGCATCCTCTGAAACTCTCTTCTCATTGACTCTGCTCGCCCGACGTGTCGTGAAGGCCGGTGTGAGCGTTCATTCACCTTGTCATGTTAAGGGACTGTTGGGATTGCTTTCTGCCCCATTTTTTGGGCATCATTCTTGGCCGCTGGAATCGGCGTGTCCTTCAATGGAAATGGTGGCTGCATGACGTTGTTCTACATCATGAAGTTGACAACTGATTGCAGGTCTGCCAATTTGTTTTTCATTCCCTTCATCTCGCCGTCCCTCCTCAGACATCTATCTTTCCATACCTGGAGGTCGCTTTTGTTGTAGTACTCATCTCGGTCTACTTTCTTCGGTGCATCTCCCTCTTGGCCGACGTCTTTCTCCCCAGGATTCTGATCTCATGTTCCTTCGTTATGGTTTCCTTCCTCCATGTTTGGATCGGCATGCTTACCACTCCCACTAGAGATGTCGTCCCCGATCTTTTCTTTCTACCCGTCGTTGGCCATCTATTCTCCTTATGTTCCCACAGACGGCGCCAAATTATGGATGTTGATTTTCGACCACACAACCAAACGGGGAACCCAGCTAGAGAGCACCGACATAATAGATTAAGCCCGAACAATCTATCAGAGAAAGATAAGAATTCAGTGGTGGTTCGTCCACCTGGGGGTACTCCGACAGTCAAGTTAGTATTTAGTATCTCTCACAGATAATCAATAGTGCTTAACTCACTAGAAAGAACATAAAAAACATACCCTAAACCCACCGAGGGTACCTTACTTTTATAATGATCAGTGTCCAACTTCTCCTAGAAGTCCAACTTCCTCTAGAAGTCTTACTTCATGGGACTCTAACACATGATGCTTATCTTGGACTCTTAGCTAGATAGAGATAAAGTCCCTCAGAGCTTTATCCCTATTCAGCCTAGAGCCCTCTTTCATCTAGGACTCTTGCCCCTCCCTATCCGCTTATCTCGGATTCCGGTATTTGCGCAGATAGCCTCGGCCTATTCGAGATTACCTCGGCATTATGACTAAGCCACGTGGCACTTCTGGCTCTTCGGCTGACACTTCGGTGTCACCTTTTGCCACGTGCTGTCATTCACAAAATACTTTCCCACAATAATATATTAAAATATATATTTTTTGTTGGGATGTAAATTTTTTCTTTATTTTATTTTATTTTATTTTTGAACGATATCTTTATTGATTTTATTAAAACTTACGTTTTGTGGTCATTTGTGATTGAATTTATTTAAAAAATCCTTTACTTTGTTTATACACAAATTTTTTTAATTTATAAAGATATCAATATGTTTATTTAAGAAATATAATGTATGATTAAATTTAATTATAGAATGTTTTAATTTTTTTAACATATAACTCGATAGATGGATTTGGAATTTTTATAATTATTTTTTAGGTCGAGCTTGAGCAGATGTAGAGGTTCAATGTTAAGATCAAATCAAACTTGAACAGACATAAAATCTCTTATTATATTGTATCAGCTTAGCCTAAACCCGACCCGACATATGATATTTGTGGGATTGATTATTACAAATATCATAACTAAATCATTTACAAGTCATATATAACTAAAAAAAAATGAGTTGTAACTAAACACTATATAAGGTATAATAAAAAAATCTTTTAAATCATAACAAAATAATATCATAACCAACATTATAATGAGTCATAATTAATGCTATAATACATTTAATCAAGTCATAACCAATATTCCAAAAACGAAAACTACAAAAATTATAATTAGAGGCATATGAAGCACACCACAAATGGGTATGTAGTCTAAAATTTCCCTCAATATATAGATGTAAGACAAATATTTATAATTATATATACAAACAGGAATATTTGAGATGATTTAAATAAGTATATTTTTTGACTTTTTATGAAAAAATATATAAAAAAATAGAGATGTAATATGATCCAAATAAGTACATTTATCTAAATAAATGCACTGATATAAATTATGCCACACTCAAATCTCATTTATATTATCTCAAATTGTTTCTATGCACCTACATACGATCTGGTGAGAACTAATGTAAAGCATACAGTAAGCTTCTGTCCAGTTCTCTCGAGTTCATTCATGATCATGCATACAGTAAGCTTCTGTCCAGTTCTCTCGAGTTCATTCATGATCATGCATACAGTAAGCTTCTGTCCAGTTCTCTCGAGTTCATTCATGATCATGCATACAGTAAGCTTCTGTCCAGTTCTCTCGAGTTCATTCATGATCATGCATACAGTAAGCTTCTGTCCAGTTCTCTCGAGTTCATTCATGATCATGATCATGATAATGATCTGAATTAAAAGATTGAACTTCTCTTCAATTCCTGATCTGAATTGAAGGTTGTCGTCTGATTTTGTGTAATCTGTCACACGTCTCATTTCGTTAATATGAATTAATCATTTTGTAAAATCTTTAATATATATTTTATACAAAAAAATTAAATTAATTTAATAATTATATATATTCAATTTATCATGTGTATCATATAAAAAAATAAATAATCTATTTTTTAAGATAAATTTATGGTATGCTGTTTTTAGACATAAATATAATAAATTAAATTAGTTATAATTGTCAAATTGACTTAATTTTTTATGTAAATAATATACAAAAACATCTAATAAAATAAATCATTTAAATTATTGAAATGAAATATATAGTAAGTCTTACAGACTATGACATTACATTCCAGTCAAAATCATGGACTCCAATCTAGATCACAAACAAGAGGAAAGCCATATATTTATTTTAAAACATAAACAGCCGTACATCATTTTAATAAACTTACACATGAACTTAAATACCATATCCACACCGCTAATCTTTGTCCAATACATCATTTTAATAAAATTATACAGCAATTAGCAGTTTAATTAAGCACTGCTAACTCCAACTTAATTATTTATTATAACAACAACAGACCAAAAAAAATTTAATTAAAAACTAGTACTTAAATATACGAACAAGCACAAGCACATTTCTCTATTATTATACAAAGACTCGTATTTGTAAACTAGAACCTTATACTAAAAAAAGATTTATATAATCACCACCGTAATATCCACTACTGTCTCTCCTCCACTCTTCTTCATGGACTATTCATTCACCGTCACACTATAGGACTATCTACTCTTATTATATAAGATCCCTTTTATGTTCTTCTCTATTGGAGTATATAATATATATATTGATTGGTTGTTACTTGAATTTTAATAAAAAACTGGGTTTGAGTCTCCAGAAACCATGATCTCCGAGGCGGACCATAGCCTTGCAGCTTCGGTTGGGTTGGATCCTAATTTGGATGTTGAAACTTCGTTGCAATCCGCGAAGTACTTTCCACTCACGCTTTCAAGCCTCGCATGAGTCGCAACGTAGCAAGTCGTCGCAGCAGCCTGAACCAAATTTCAATTGTTCATAACAACAATTGCATAACTAAACTATATGTACTTATTTTGTATTTGATCAATCAAACACTAGAGAGAGAGAGAGAGAGAGTAATTAACGAACATTACCTGTGGAATTGTCTTCAAGAACTTGGAAGCCAAGAAGAACACGAGATCTGCATATTCTAACACTTTGAATTTTAGAACAGCACTCAACTAGATGTATATATAATTGTATATACACTTGAATGAAACTGAGAGCTTTATAGAGTGGTAGTGAGTGACCTGTAATAAGGCCTTCCCGATCTCTGGTGAGTCTAGTCCTCACAATACCTGGATGAACGCAATTCACCGTAACGTTTGCTTCCATTTCCTGCAACATTCTAAAAACAATTAATTCAATATAAAATAACAAAAATAAATTTTTGATAAACAACAATTTTTGCTTTTTTTTTTCTTTTTCTTTTCATTATCAACTCTTTAGGGTCATTGGCAGATTCTGTCTGAGATTTGTATGATCCATATAGAAAAAATGTTTTATATGAATTTTAAAATTAATCAAGATGTAATTCAATATTCAGTCATAAAAACTAGAGAGAACTGTTTGAGTCTATGGTGAACCCAAGTCCAAACAACCCATCCAGTCTAAATTTTAGACAGAATGAAATTCTCCTCTAAAAAAAAATTTAAATAATAATAATAATAGTTACCTTGAGTCTCTGAGAGAGCTCCTTGGTGTGCAAAACGTTGGCGAGCTTCGAGAGAGCATAAGCACGTGTCGCATCGTAATGACTGTCGAAGACCAGACAAAATATCAAAGCAAAGTCAAACTGAAATTTCATTTTCACCTCATTTATTTCTCGAATCAGTAGTGACTCATCGATTTCCCGATTTCCTAAATTTCTCTGTTTGAATCCATATTGACCAACTCACCTTTTGTTTCTAGTCATCAGATCGAGACAACGAATCACGTCACCGGAAAACCATCCGTGAATGCTCGACGACACGTTCACTATACGACCTTCAACTCCGGTAGCCTTTGCCGTTTCGATCATCTTTCTCAGCAACAGTTTTGTCAACAGAAAATGACCTGTGAATTTTCAAACACACACACAAAAAAAAAGAAAAGAAAAAAAGAAGCCTCTTAATTCACGATACAATTACAAACGCAATTGTACATTTGATACTGAAATTTACCTAAATAATTGGTAGCGAAGGTCATCTCTACTCCATCGTCGGAGATAGCGTGCTCGTGTGAGAACTTTCCGGCGTTGTTTCTGAGATCAATCAAAATCAAACAGATTGTAGATTAACACACACACATATATAGATACATACATGCATGAATGTGTATACTTATGGAGTTACATGAGGAGATTGAGAGGCGAATCGAGAGATTCGAACTCAGCGACGAAGCATCGAACTGAACTAAGAGAGCTAAGATCAAGCGCCATAACGACGATCTCCGATTTAGGAAATTCCGATACGATACGAGCCTTAGCTTCCTCTGAGGCCTTGAGGCTCCGAGCCGGGAGGATGAGCCGCGCGCCGCACTTGGCTAACACACGAGCAGTCTCAGCTCCGATCCCTGACGTGGCGCCTGGTGAACCACCCGATCAAACAAGCACGTGAGAAAAAATACTTTTTTTAATTTTTTTTTTTTTTTAAAACTCGTGCGCTTGTACTCTCTCTGCTTACCTGTTATGATGGCGGTGAGGGAGCGGAGATCCGGGGAGGTCTCGGTGACTTGCTCGGCTGTAGACTTGGAGCCGTAGCCACTGGGGCCGATTGAGCCGATCAGGTATTTTACGGTTTCCAGCATTTTCGTCGTTGAATTATTTTTTAAAATATTGTTTGCTCTTATTCTCGGTCGAGTAGTTTTTCTGTTGATGGAAAGCGAAGTACGTATATGCAGTTTGCAGTTACAGAGACAAAAGTTATAGATAGGAAGGCGTGGCTTTTGTCACGGATATCAGGCCGTCGGCATTTACTTTTAGAGAGAGAGAGAGAGAGAGAGAGAGAGAAGGCGGGGATTTGGTTAGTCTGGTTACAAGCCCAGAGAGAGAGAGAGAGAGTTTGGTTAGGAGGTAACGAGGAAGAGTGGATGTAGGTGAGAATTTTATAACGGATAATGTTATATGTATTAATTAATATATTAATTGATAATGTGATATAATTTAAGATATTTTTAATATTTGTGATTTGTATAATAATTGAGGTTAATAATAATATCATAATTAATATTGGTATACTAATTATTATACTAATAACACTGGTTTGGGAAGTTAGATTGGAATATGTAAGCCTTAACATAGTTATAAAAAAATAAAATAAAATTTTTAATTTAATAAGTTAAAATGTCGTATTTAAATTATAATTTATTTTTTCTCTTATAAAAATTAACAAAAGTCAAAAAATCAATTAACTTTTTAACTCCAAATAAAAATAATCAAAAAATTAAAAAACTAATCGACATGGCAAATGAAGTCATAAATTAATTACTAATGGTGCTGGTAGGGTTAAGGGGTTAAGAGCATCAATATGTTAAGATGGAGGGATAGGATTACATATTTGTCATTCATTCATTATTGTTTATTGAAATCAGTTTTTTAATATTATATTTGGTTGGAGAATTGAAAAAAAAAATTGAAAAGAGAAGAAAAATAAAAAAGATGCATGAAATTATGTAAAATATATGTATATTTTATTCACATTTCACTTTTTTTTTTCTTTTTCTTTTTCAAATTCCCCAACCAAACACAGTGTTATGTCTACTTTGGGGATTGAGATTTGTTGTTTGAGTTTGTGTACTCATTACGGATCTCATTTTAACAATAATGTTATATTTTTTTAATTTGTCATCTTTAAATGATCTTTAATGATGTGGTATAGTTTAGATTTCACATAATAAAATATTTGACAAATTAAAATTTAACACTTGTTAGGCTCCGTTTGGGAAGAAAAAAACCAGGCTTTTTTGGCTAATATAGCCACAAAAAACAAAATAGGCTATTTTAGCCACAAAAAATAAAACATCAAATCCAATCCATAATCATTACAATCATCTCTCACAAAAAAAAGTCAAAAAAGCCAAAAAACTAAAAAGCCCTTCCCAAACCAGGCTAAAATAGCCAAAAAGCCAACCCACTTCCCAAACGGAGGCATATTATTAGGGATAATTTTTACAGAAAATTGGTGATAAATCTAATCTAAGAAGTGTATAAAGTATTAGATTTAGTGGATTTTTTTATTGATGAGAGATCCATCATTTGTGAAATAGTTTGGTGAGAATTTTTTTTAATTGATTTTAGAGTACATTTTGTTATTTTTTTATCTGTTGACTTTTTCTACTATCTGTTCAAATTTATAAATATCTGTTCAAATCTTCTATCTGTTTAATTTTTTTAACTATGTGTTCAATTTTTTTTCCCTATTTGTTCAAAATTTTACTATCTATTGAAATTTACCACCAAATCTGTTAAAATTTTGCTATTTGTTGAATTTTATCTATTAAAAGAGAATGAATAGTAATTTTTTTTTTTTTTGAACTAAGAGATTTGCAAGCCAGTATATGTTGCAATCATCATCATCATCAACAACAACAATAACAACTCTTTCTCACTCCTCATTTTTCTATTTTTCATTCTATCTGTAGAAATAAACAAAACAAAACAAAACAAACGAACAAAAAGAGAGAAGAGAGAGAAAAAGGAAATGAGTTTTTTGAGCCTCAAGCACACCTCTAATCTTCACAAACCAATTTCTCTCTTTATCTGTTCAAATAATTTATGTTTCTCTCTCTATCTCTCTCCACAAACCCAGTTCTCTCTCTATCTGTTCAAATAATTTATGTTTCTCTCTCTCCACAAACACAATTCTCTTTCTCTATCTGTTGAAACTTTCTTCACTTTATTCCAATAACTTTTTCATTGATTGCAACTTCGATCTTCATCCGATCTAAAAACTTCGATCTTTATAATGTTCATCAAAATCTTTCATTTATTCAAAGAAAAAGCTGGGGAAAAAAATTACAGATCCCCATTTTCAGCACTAGGCAACAAATTGTAAAATAATATATATCTGAAAGTAATAAATATATTAAACAAAAAATTAACCCATAAAACAAAAAAAAAAAAAATCAATATCAAAAAAGCTTGCAATTCTTTAAATCCCATTTAGTTATTTTGATTTAGTTCGAAACCCAATCATGAACTAGTACCAAAATTACACATACACAAAAAAGATTTTAAAAAAATGGTATATTTAAACATTGGAATATGAAATCCAAGGTCCCAACTATGACCTTTGGCATGTCCATTATGGAAACACAATATAGTGTCGTAGAAATTTAAATGTCATTTCAATAACAATTAACTTATCTCAAATATATAACACCAATGCATGTTAAGAACAAAGAGGAAATATGAATAAGAAGAATATAAACGACTTACTAGCACCAGATTTGAATTGTCGTCGCAACCTCTTCACTACCATCATTGGCGAGTCACTTCGTTGGATCGGTGTTGTGGACTTGGGACTGAAGAACCTCTAAGTTGATCTATGTGGATCTCTGAAAAACCTCCTTGTGCAAAATCGGCTTGTGTTTTGGAGGCTTTTGAATAGCAACAAAAAGTTCTAAAAATAGAGAGAGAAAGAGTGTTCAGAAGACAAGTTCGATCAAACCTTATGGATGTACAGGTCTTTGAAGACACTAGCCGTAACTGAGGCAGATCTAGAGGTGTTCAACCCAAGGTCAACTATAGACAACCCATTTTGACCGGCCCTAACACTTGGACATTTTCTTTTGATTACCCATGATGAAAATAAGAATGTGTTTCTCATATAATTCTTAGTAAGAAATATAGAATTTGTGCTTCACTATTGACCCTAAGCCTGTTTTGGCCAAATGTTCAAATCCCATTCAAAACTCTCTTTCGAAATTTTCTTTCCGCGCTTTATTCCGAATATTTTGTAATGTTCCGAGACTCATTTTTAACTTCAAAATGAAACATTTTCTTAAGAGATTAAGCAAAGAATAGTGTGGAAATAAGACAAAATGACGAGAATTTTGTCGAAAAATCCTGTTTCATGCAAAATAGTCAGCCACGACCAATATTTTGGCCAGCCAGCCAACTTAATTGATTGGCCGACTAATTTGCCCAAAAGCGGGCAGTCTTAGTAGAATTCTTGTTGAAAGCTTGTAGGTTATGCCATTTCAGATATTTTGTTGATACATTCATGCATGAGATGCACCTAATTATCCTCATTTGGCCTCTATTGTCAAAAAAAAGATTGTCTTTTACCCCAAAAGGAGCATCTAAGGCAACCAACCTTGTCACCCCATCATTTATGTCTCCCACTGCCTTAACTCTGCCTTTAATTCATTATCTATATGGATGATTAGAATGTATCAAAGGAGAGAAATGATGAATTGAGAGAATTGAATTAAGAGAGATATATAGAGAGAAAAAGAGAAGTTAAGCTTTGAGCCAAAACTCATATACACTGATATATCAAGTTCTATATACGAAAATCATCCCAAGAATTCTGATGTAGCCATATTCCTGAGCTTTAATCCAAAAGAGAGTGAGTGTTTTTTAAAGAGAGAAAAACAGAGTTTTATAACTCTCTCTCCACGCACACTGTTAAACCATCCAAAAACACCATTCTAACTAGAATTTTGAATTTTCAAATTGAGGATTGAAAGCACACTTCCTAAATTTGAGGGTGATCAAAATGAAGTTTTCTTGGGAGATAAATTTTGCACACTTTTTATTTTCATGCATTTCTTGCATTTCCTTTTTTATATTGCGTTTCTTGCTTTAATTTCATGTTATAAACCTGTTAGAAGCTAACTGGAAGTGATTAGTTGAGCCACTTGCATATTTTTCGTTTGTTTTTCTGGTATTTGAACAAAACAGAGTTTTTGGCCTGGCCTGATTGGCCAGCCGGCCAATTTATTGGCTGGCTGGCTAACGTTTTGGTTAGCCAGCTCATCTTTCAGCCGATCAGCCATCTTCTCCTGGACAGAACCTAGCAGTCTCTTAGATGTCAAGTAGAACAGTCTCCGAAACCCCTTGAAGGAAAAACGATAGTGGTTTGTGCAACAACAGAGGTGGTGGTAAGGAAGTAGGATAAGAAGATGATAATGATGGTTAGGAATGTAAGGAAAAACGATAAAACCGAGCTTGCCGATCGAAACCGACCGAAATGTTAGTTTTCAGTCTATTTTTATAACATATGGTCTGTTTTGGTTTTAAAACTTTTTATACTGATGCAAACCGAACCGACCGAATATTATATTTAAATATTTTTATATTATAATTTCTTAAACATTATACGAGAAGTAACTAATATAACACACTTTTGTGATATAAATTAGAGATAAAAACATTTATAAAGCAATTTTCATATATTTTCTTTATTTATTTTCAATGTAAAATTTTATAATCTACTATAAAACCTTTTAAAATTTCATGTAAATTCCTCTTCTATGTCAAATCCACAAAACCAGTAAAACCAAATCGTAGCATACGTTATGTATCGATTTTTCAATAATAAAAATCGAAAGGATAGGTTCAGTGCTAAATATACTCTCGACACCGACCGAACCGAACCATTTACACCCCTAATGATGGTGGTGGTGAGAAAAAGACGATGATGGTGGTGGTGTTGAAGATGATAATGATGGTGGTGATGATGAATCCAAAATCCAGCTTGGTTAGAGAGAGGGGATAAGAGACTGAGAGAGAGAGAGAGAGAGAGAGAGAGTCGTAGGAGTGAGAGAGATAGATAGATAGATAGATAGATAGATAGATAGATAGAGAGAGAGAGAATTGGGTTTATGATAAAGGAATTTTATATTTGTAACAGATATCGTGTAGAATGGAATGGATAGTTTTTTCATTTGACAGAAACATGTCCTTATTGACAGAAAAGTTTAGTGCGTGGATCTTTCACCAAAATAAATTTAAATTTAGACTTTTCGCTTGAGCACCCTAGTTTTTAAGGGTGATACATTAGGTGTCTCAAACATTTTTCTCATTTTAATGATTTAAATTATTCATTTTTTAGATTATAATGTGTAAATCATTC